TGGATTCTGTGTGACATTGATACAGCATTACAATGTGTATCACGTGTTGATTGTGGAAGTGTTTGAATTGATGAGGGGTTTCTCTCTCTGCCGGCTAACTTAACTCTCAGCTCAGATACGTGGCAACGGTTGGTTGGTTCTCTTCAAAAAGGTGATAGATTGACAAGACAAGACTGACAAAGTGTGCTCAACAAGCTAGATGGCAAGGGAACTCCGGCAAGTAATGATCTCGGCTTAGGACAAAGCTTCGGCAACTAGGGTGACAATGACCTCGGCTAGGAAGGACAACACTTGACTAAGCTGTGCCACACCTCGGCCTAGATGTGCCACACCTCGGTCTAGGTCATTCCAGTCCCAGAACAAGATCACTAGGTGCAAGGATTAAGGATCTCGGACGCCTAGGTGATAACATCTCGGCCAATATGCCTAGGTGACGGTGGAGGTCAACCAAAGGGGTTCCAAGATGGTCCAAGGTCATGACCTAGGCTTGGCATGACCTAGGCTTAACATAGCAAGGAAGGAACAAAGCATGCATACAACACTTAGGGAAAACATGATAGCATCAAGACAAGACAAGAACCTTTACCTAGGCAAAACAAGTCCAAGTCTACAAAGGCAAGCTTAACAAGACAAAATCATGCAAATGTACATGAACATGACTAAGACATGAATGTGGGTTATTACACCTAAGGTTGTGACTTTTCCTTGTAGAAGTAGGAAAAGTCTAGCAGCTTATAAATATAGATGCAATGTTTATTTTCAAGATAGAGCTAAGTTATGAGAATTTGAGGTTGTGTTTGTTTGAATTTGGTAACCTATAATAGAGTCCTATATCAAGAAGAGTTACTTTGGTTCTCTTCTTCTTTGCGCATTCCCAAGTATACTATTCACAGCCTCAAAATGCACTTTTCCATCCCCAAAACCCTATACAATTACCCTCAAATCAACCCTAATCCCTTATTATATTTATTAGCCTTCAATTTAACCATTAAACCCTAAATTACTCACTATTTAGGTTCTTAAATAGCTTCTGTTATGAAAATCCAGCAAGCTATCCTACATCAATTTGGTTTCAAAGCCTCAAGATCCTACCTCTGTTCTCTACCAATTTTTTATTACAATGTTGACAAACGCTGAATTATATTCCAAGTTTAAAGCCTTTTCAGAAGATTATGAGGCTATCAAGAAAGATGTTTGTGGTGTTAAACTGGGATGTTGTGACAATAAAGTGCGAAGTGCATATTATCAATACAATTTTGAAAGAAATTGTTGTAGAAATTGATAATGATTAGGAAAATTGAAACCATTTGAAAATCATGCATTATCATTTGCATATTTATCATTGGCATACTCTTTTGAACAAAAATGTTGCTTCTGTTATTCTTGAGAATCGTGGACATTATTTTGAATTATTGGAGTAAATAAATTGGTGAATCTGGGAAGGGTATAAAATATTTTGTAAAGAGAATTAAGTTGGCTTGAGATCCTCGGTGAAAGACCAAAAACCCACGCAAAGTAAGTACCAATTTCACCGGTAAAGTGGGGGTGATTTTGGTAATTCTTCGATAGACTACTTGCAAATACATATCTAGAGATTCCCAGTGATTTATTTACATAATTATTGAAATGGAAAATGTGAAGTTTGAAAAACTGAAAACTTGCATTGGTTTTGTTTCATGAAAAAGAACTATTTTGAGATGAATTGGCATGACATTGCATTCATGATCATATTCATGTTAAGGCATATTTACTTAGTTAATATCATCTCTGCTGGGCCTAGTGCTCATCTCTTTGTGGAAACCATTTTTCAGGTGTTGATAGCGTGCCACCACTAAGATGATGGCTATTGTGAAATGAGGGCAACAAGCTTGGTTGTCTTATTAATTGTATGGCCTAAGGCCTTATTTATATTGGGTTGAGATCCCATTCTTATAAATAGGGCCATGCAAAGTTTTTAAAGGCAAATGCATACCTCAAGGCATTTTCCCCCTCTGAGGCAAGGGCGTTGAGGTGTAAGCATTTCAAATTTCAAATTTTAAATTTTAATATTTGGTGGATAAATTAAATATTTTAAAATTGTAAAAAAATAAAAACAAAATTAAATATAAAGGTGTAAATACTTTTTGCCTTAAGGCCTTGAACATTTTACTACACAGAAGGAAGTTTTCCTTCACTGAAAGTAAAATTGATATTCTTAATTTTAGTAATTGAGCTTCTCACTTGACAATAACTGTATTTTTTCTTGATTGATCATTTACTTTATTTTTCCTGTAGAATATAGTTACAAAAAGGGATTCTTTCTATTTTTTTATGTTTAAACAATCTAATAGACTAAGTTTAACAAAAGCTCAAGGCAATGCGTATGCGCATACTTCTCACATGCGTATGCGCATACTTCTCACATGCGTATGCGCAAAAAGTGTACAAAGCACACCTAAGGAGTAATGCCTAAAAATCGAAGCCTTGAGTGTTTTACCTGAGCCTCGAGGAGAGGCGAGCATCAAGGCAAGCGTCAGGAAAGCCTATTAAAACCTTGGAGCCATGTCCCTTTTTATATGTAAGCCCGTAAAATTTTTTGTGAAAATAGAAATAAATATTCAATATAGCATTTTATTTGATTTATTCCCGTGTCATATAGTGAGTTATTGTAGGATGCCTTGTGACTCTTAGATCATCATGAGATGAGTGGAATGCATTATTGGAGAGTGGTTCATATTTTGCACAACCTATTAAGATGTAGTATAAAATCTATATCATCTTCATCAAATTAATTGACCCAATTCATTAGCCCTTAAAATTAGAGTACAAAAAGCATCTTATGCCAAGGAAGGCAATAAAACGGAAGCAGCAACAGGTCGCATTTGCCACAGACCAGACAATCTCAGAATTAATTGTTTTTCCTTGACATAAAGCTACAAAGGATTGGCTTGAAATGTTCTATTTTTCAACCATCATAAGAATGTTTGTGTACCAGAGATCTTAAGTATAGACTACAAATTTACAATTTAACTTCTCTATGTTTCTCACGAATCACATAAAAATATGGCAAATTAACAAGAAGAAGCACCAATAATAAAGCAATAAAGTTCGAACATGTACCATACAGAGGTTTCATCAATCTTTTCTTCATCTGCTAGTCTATAATTCATCAAATATAACCACATTGCATTGACAACACGATCAGCAAGAGTTTCTTCTGAAGTCCATTCAGGAAGACGTGGTTGAAGCATTGAATCAATCACATGATTTCCGGATTCTAAGATTTTTGATGCATTTACACCATTCAGCAGAGAAAGATTAGGAAAGGATTCAAGAATTTCTAGGGCACTTTCTCCAAGTGGGCCTGGAATATCTACCTGTTCCATTGCATTTATCAGCGCAAGTTTGGAAGATGTCTAAACACAATAGAGCCAGTTTTAAGAAAGATACCTCCAGAGCATTTAAGCAAGAAAAACCCTTTAGGAGCTCCAATAACTCACCAACCGGGTTCTGTTCCAATCGGTTTCCCCGAAGATTTAGATGTGATAGAGATGGCATTTCAGCAGGTGAAAATGCCTGAACAAGAAGCAATAAAAATGAAATCAGCAAAGAACTTGCTTCAGGAATTGCTGGATGTCCAAATTTATCAGCACTTGAATTAACAAAAAGGAGTTAATCAACCAGAAACTACACTTCGTTACAAATGGCTAAATGGCCATACATGGAAATATGCTAGATATTTTATATCTTCTGTGTACTCAAAATAGTCTAATTAAACAAAATAGAAAAGAGAAAGCCATGAGAAACTAACAAGGACCTTATTGATTAAATTGTGAATAGATCTATTTGAAAGGTCAAGCAATGTCACACCCCGCAACGGATGGTCAGTCTCATGGAAGAAGCCAGGATTGTCCTTATCATATATTCCTCCACAAAATCCCAGTGCCCACTCACCAAAATTGCAGGTGAAACACGAGTTGTAAATTTCCAAACTTTGGCAACCTTGAAAAATAGTATCTGCCATGTGATCATCACTAGAAACAGAACAACTAAGTTATTTCTTCATCAGAAGCCACTAATCATAGAAATCAATAAAACTTACTTTTTTAGAAGAATTGGATTGTTATTCAGCCAAAGTGCCTTAAGATGCTTGAACTTTACAATTTCCTGAGTAACAGTTTCCACATTCTCGAGCTTGTTTCCGCATAGGCTAAGTGCAAGTAAATTCTATGCAAAACAAGATCAAATTAATAAAGAAAGCTTTCAGAAAATAAGCAATCTCAAAAGGCACAGATTAACGAAATGAGATACCAGACAACATAAATGAGATGCTCTATGATGCATGAAGACAATTAAATATTGGCTATTGTCATCTCTCCTACTGTCATGACAATGTGTCAGTAAAACTTAAACCGCGGATCAATTAATTTGATAGATAGCTTGAAAAAGCAGGATCCAAATCACCACACCAAGTTAATGTAGTTCTATTTGCACGCAACCATTCCTATCAATACACACCATTGCCTAATTGTTTTTTAATTACGATTGTATCCATCAAGCAAATTACCTTTTTGTACAAAACCTTAAAATCTAGTATCTCAGTACACACCACCAACCACCGCCATGAACCCCCTTCCTCCTCCGCCATCCACTCCCCCTCACCAATCATGTCACCCCTCCAAAGCCCCCCCCTTGTCCACCTCCACCTATGCAAGAGAGAGAGAGGGAGAGGGAGAGGGAGAGGGAGAGGGGGAGAGAGAAAAAACATCATCATTGCAAACCCTACCACCTACCACCACAAACCACCTAGCATTTCAAAAAGCCCTCAGCGAATCTCTCCCGGCTGTGAACCTCCCCACGACTACGAATCCCCCTCGTCGACCTCTCTCTCTCTCCTCTCTCTCGCACACGTGCAGACTGTGAGGAAGGGGTTGAGGTGGTCAGGGAAAGGTGGGGGAGGGGTGGGAGGTATTGTAGTGGCGGGAGTGATGGTGGGTTTGTATGCAGCAGCTAGGGCGGTAGTTGATGCCAACGCCAGTGGGTGATGGACTAGCGTTAGGATTTTGAATGTTAGAGAAGATGTATAATTTAAAAATTCATGGTGTCAATTGAAAAATAAAATTAAAAATTCAAATTAGGTGTGGTGTTGAGCTTGAGACAAGTAAATGGTTTTGAATTGAGAGAATACGTGGTGCGTAAACAGAAGCTCTCACAAAGTTATCTATATATATATAGAGAGAGAGAGAGAGTGACAGTAACTGAATTTCTTACAGGCATAGATAGTTAGTTAGTTAGTTGGAAGAGAGGATTCACTGTAAATGCTAGCTATATCAATAGAAAACGCATTCAATTGTTTACAAGAAAAATAAATAAAAGAAATTACTTACAGGAAATTTACTAGGCAAGTCAAGAGACAATAACAAAGCATCGTCCATGTGAAGGTCCTCAAGCTCCAACCATCTCACAGTGTCATCTCCTTTGTCTTTTGCATTACGAATTTCAGTCTCCACAAATTCCACCGCATTGAATTTGGCAACATTCACATCTGAGGCTCCACCAGCAGAATCAATATCAACACACATTAACGAAGCCATCCTTTCAACCAAACCTGGGACTTGCTCCAACTGTTTGCGGGCATCGGAGAGTCTAAAAGTCCAGGCGTGGTCGGAGAGGAAGACGTGGGAATCCTTGGGCATGAAATCAGAGGTAAGTAGGAGGCGCCTCTGTCGGCCTTCCTCGCAGGGCTCGATCTCGAAGAAGTCCCCGCCATCGAATGTCTCCGTAGAAAGTTTGTGGAACAGTTGGCCGTGCAGCGACTCAGGCACGCCCGACGCCGCAAGTAAGACGCCGTGCACTTTCACGAACTCCTCCAATGTTCGGATTCTGTCGCCGCCCATGTCGGACCTCTTTGTGTTTCTGCTCTGTGTATGTGTTTTTGTGTAACTCTCGGGACAACACAACACTACTGGCCTCACTCACCCACTCACTCTGCCCTGGTCTGGTTTTGTTTTGTGGTTGAGCCCTTCGAAGGCGGTGTTTGGCAAGAAAGTTTTTAATTTTTTTTAAAAGTTAAAATTTATAAAAAAATAAAATGAATAAAAATAATTAATAAGATAAAATGTGATATCAAACTTATAATTATCTCATCAAACTTATAATTATCTCATTTTTTTTTTACAAATATCACATGCAAGTATAAAAAAATTTATAAAAAGATAAAATAAATAAAATGTGATTCAATGTGTTTCTAAGTTATTTTTTTTTTTTCTAAGTTACGCAATGTAATTCAATGTGTGTGTATGTTTATGAACTGTGTAAGATCATTTACGAGGACGAATCAACAATTGAATCACTATGATTAATATCTTATGAAAGATATTTTCTTACTTATCCTATTTTCGAAATATCCTAATGTGGTAAGTTATTCCGAAACTGTGATTCCGAAACTGTGATTTTGCAAGGATGATGAGTTTCTATTTGTCTGATCAACATAATATCTGTAAATGTGATTGATGTGACACGAATGTATATAACGGACCCAAGGTCATTCTGTATATTTGAAATAGACCTAAGGTCGTTCTGTACATTTGACAAGATGGATCCAAGGTCGTTCTGAACATCTGATAAATCTTATTATCTTTTATGAGTTGACTGAATGGTCATTATACAACTGTAATTATTGGACCCGAGATCGTCCTATTATGATATGATCAATTCCGTTCTATACATTTGTTATACGTTGGACCCGAGGTCATTATGTTATTTGTTGGACCCAAGGTCGTTTCGTTATAAAATGTTTATGTTATTTACTAGAACTCATTCACATAACTCCGTTGCTCTGATATTATTGACCGGGTGTTAACTCACTCCGTTATATATATGTATATAGGTGAGCAGCGGGATGTCTAGCCTCAACTCTAGTGAACCTGTGGAGAAATACCAAGTTTTTGTAGAGTCAGCAAAGGATGCCTCACGCACGAGACTTTTGTCTTTTGATTTTGTTAGTCAAAGGATGCCTCAATAGGCGTCAGCAAAGGATGCCTCACGCACGAGACTTTTGTCTCTTGATTTTGTTGGTCAAAGAATGCCTCAATAGGCGTCAGCAAAGGATGTTTTCTTTTGTTGGTCATGCTTGACCACGTCTATGTATTAGTTTGGTGATTGTATGTTATTAACACATGTATGATCTTGGACATGTGTTTGGTGATTGTATGTTATTAACATATGTATGATCTTGGACATGTGAGACTTTTTATGTATGTATGAGTGCGAGTTATCAATATAAAAGAGATGTCTTTGATATGTCATATATGCACAGCTTATTGGACAAAATTTTATTATTATGATTTGATTTCTATCTGAGACCGTAGGTAATCTCATGATTACTGGCCGGTTATGATCTAAACCTGTAGGAGCGGGTTCTGGCCATGACAGAGTGGTATTAGAGCATGAGTTAATAACTCACAAACTTGTCCAATTGAGTAATAAGGTGTCTAGAAAAGACCTAAGGTGCATTCATCTGATAAGTATCTATTTGTGTGCATTGAGAACATGTGAATATATGGAATAGGAACTATTGTGTCTATATATGTATATGTGCAATTCCTGTGTCTATTATAATGCAAGTTTATATAGATAATTGTGAGAACTAGGGTTGATGAAATAGAAGAGTAGACTATTGCCTGACGGATAGAATGAAGAGAATGATCCATAATATGTCTAAAGCATTAAGGCAACAACAGCAACAACCACTCCCACCTTTGCCAATGCCAGTGCCGTCTATGTAAGATTTTTAGACTGATGATCGTACAATTGCCCTCACCAAAGAATTTAGGAAGATAAAACCACTGTTGTTCCATGGAGGAGTAGACCTGTTTAAAGCTGAAGCTTGGGTCCTTGGAATCAAGAAAGGTATTTCCATGTGTTGAGGCACAAAAGGTTCAGTTGACCGCATTCACTCTAGAGGATGAGGTGAGAAGATGGTGGATGCTAATCCGAGAAGACAATAAAGGATTGGTTGTGCACGATTTCTCGAATTTTTCTATAGGAAATATTTTTCGTATTGTGTCCATGACTGAAAAGTGTCTAAGTTTAAGAGACTCAAGCAAGGTAACATGACAGTAGCCAAGTATGAAGCAAAGTTCACGAAGTTGGTCAGGTTTGCACCGCATATGGTCGACACCGATTACAAAAAGGCAACAAATTCGAAAGTGGACTTCAAAATGTAATTCAAGAGAAAAAAATGTTTTGAAACTGCCAAAGTACGCGAACGTTCTTAACCCAGCTCTAATGTCTGGAACGAATTTGGCTTTCCATAACCGACCATTTGAATGAAAGGGAAAACAACATGGTTCTTATTCAAATAAGAGGTCATCGTCTTCAGAGAAGCAAAGTGTGGGAACATCTAGTACTTCTAATACCTTAAGGGACTCTACACCGACATGCAATGAATATGGTAAGAAACATCGAGGAGTCTGTTACCGTACTTCTAGGGCGTGTTTTAGATACAGCAAGACTAGACATATGGTCAAAGACTATCCCCAAAATGAGCAAAAAAGTGGAAGGCTAGATGTTAGTTTAACTAGGTCTATCCTAATGCCAGGAAGCACTACAAGGCCTATTGCTATGAGAGACACACTGAGGTAAGGGAGAGTTTTTGCACTCGTCCTAAGTGATACACGAAATACCAAGGCCGTTGTTTCAAGTACCATTTTTATTTGCAATCAAGATGCTTATGTGCTAATTGATTCAGGTTTGACACATTTCTTTGTATCTACTGCATTTGCATCTAGATAGAAAAGACCCATGGAATCATTGGCATATCTGTTATGTGTATCTGCTCTATCTGGGGAATCTTTTATGTGTTTATTTGTATATCATTCTTGTGAAATACGTATTAGGAATGCTATAATATTTGTAGATCTGTTGCCCCTTGATATTAGGCATTTTGATGTGATTTTGGAAATGGATTGGTTGTCTAAATACTATGCTACTATTGATTGTGTGACAAAATGGGTTTTGTTTAGACCTCTAGGACATAATGAATTTGTATTTGTGGGTAATGGTGTAGTACCTCTGCCTTACTTGATTTCGGCAATAAAAGCATGCAAACTGCTTAAGAAGGGATGTCAGGGTTATCTATGTAGTGTTTTGACTGAGTCTATGAATATTGTGTTAAATAATGTTTTTATTGTTAAAGAATTTCCAGATGTGTTTCCAGAAGAATTGCTAGAGGAATTAGTTGTTTGGGAGATTGAATTCACTATTGAAGTTGTACTAGGTACTCAACCTATTTCAAAAACTACATATAGAATGTCAACTGCTGAAATGAAAGAATTAAAATAACAGCTACAGGATTTGCTTGACAAGGGTTTTATTTGACCAAGTATTTCCCCTTGGGGTGCGCTGGTTTTGTTTGTAAAAAAGAAGTATGGGACCTTACACTTGTGTATCGATTACCGGGAGTTAAACAAGGTAACGATCAAGATTAAATACCCTTTGCCCCGTATTGACGACTTGTTTGACCAATTACAGGTTCACAAGTATTTTTGAAGATTGATTTAAGATCTGAGTACCACCAATTGAAAGTGAAAGCTGAAGATGTTGAGAAAACTCCATTCTGAACAAGGTATGGTCACTATGAATTTTTAGTTATGCCGTTTGGAGTAACAAATACATCCGTAGCTTTTATGGATCTTATGAATCGAATCCTTAAATCCTATCTTGATGAATTTGTTATGGTGTTTGTTGATGATATGTTGGTTTACGCAACAAGTAGAGAAGAACACGAACAAAGTGTGAAGTTTATACCGACCACAAGAGTTTGAAATAATTTTTCACTCAAAAGGAACTGAATATGCGGCAGAGAAGACAGTTAAAATTGATAAAAGATTATGACCTTCAGATTCAGTATCACTCAGGTAAAAGCTAACACCATAGCCGATACTTTGAGTAAAAAGTCAATGGGAAACTTGGCGTGTATGCTCACTGAATAGAAAGAACTACTGAAAGACTCTAAAAGATTCGAGATTGAAGTAGTGTTGCATGAACAAGGCGGGATGATAGCCACCAATTCGGCTCAACTAGTGATCATTGATAAGATTAAGCAAAAGCAAATGGAGAATGAATTCTTCAAGAAAGTGATTAATGAATTTGAATCAAATCTGAAGTCGGGGTTTAATGTTGAGAATAAAGGGTTGAAGTTTCAAGGGAAATTGTGCCTTCCGAATGATTTTGATTTGAAGGAGAGGATCTCGGAAAAGGCTCACAAGTCAAAGTTTGCAATGCATCCAGGCAACAATAAAATGTATCGAGATTTGAAACAAAGTTTTTGGTGGCCTAATATGAAAAAAGAAATTGCAAAATATATATCTAAATGCCTTCAATGTCAGCAAGTAAAAAATGAACATACAAAACCGATAAGGTTACTTCAACCTCTCCCTATTCCGGAATGGAAGTGGGAGCACATAACCAGGGATTTCGTTGTTGGTCTACCTCAGACACCGAAAGGTATGAACTCTATTTGGGTTATTGTGGATAGGTTAACTAAATCTACACATTTTCTGCCTGTAAAGACTAGGTATGATGTTTATAGATTGGCTACAATTTACATTGATGAAATTGTTCAATTACATGGAGTACCAGTATCCATGAAATTGTTCAATTCAGATAGAGATCCAAAATTTATGTCAAGATTTTGGAAAAAAGAGCAATGGGAACGGAATTGAGATTTAGTACCGCATTTCATCCGCAAACTAATGGGCAATCAGAAAGAACTATTCAGATTTTAGAGGATATGCTCCGAATATGTGCTCTAGACTTTCGAGGGATTTGGGAAACTTATTTTACACTGGCGAAATTTACATACAACAGTACTTTCCACTCTAGCATTAGCATGGCACCATATGAAGCCTTGTACGGAAGGAAATGTAAATCTCCTATATGTTGGATTAAAGTTGGGGATAGGGTCTTGCTTGGACCCGAGATTGTGCAAGCAACTACCAAA